GCTGCGGTAGTCTTGTGTAAGACGCTATCAGGGAGTATACAGCAGAAACAAAAGACTCTCGTAACTTTCTTTGAAACAAGTGACGCTATTTATAAACTACTAATAGGTCTCCTGCCGTTGTAGACAGTTTTAACTAGATCTCTTTGCGGCTGTTGCTCAACAGACACTTTTGCCCGCTGGCTTTATGTCTTCATGTTTTGAACCTAAGAATAGGGAGGATGGTCGTGTTTTTTCACTTAATAACTTATGTTTTTAGTTGAAATTACCATTAATTGATCTCACTTGGACGTCTTTTTGGTGTATATGCATTAAAATAGAGATTTTAGAAACACACAAAAAAAACATGTTTTGAACGAATTTCAAATTATGCAAAGTGTGAACATCGATCTGATATTCCAAAAACTTGCTAATTGAAAACTATTACTGGCGCTGATGAAATTTCAATGTATCCAGGTCTTTCTGGTACTCGATAATTCCACGCCAAATTTTCACCTCAAGTAGTTAAAAGTGATGTTTTGATCGTTACGTGGGACCGCGACCATAATCGGCACACTGGTAACACTCGGTTGTAACTTAAATGACTACGAGCATGGAGAATCATGTACATCACGGTGATCTTTCATGTGGAATATAACAAGATAAACAGACCGATGCCTGTATTTTTACAAAGACTTGCGAGAGCACGTCGCTTAAAGTTTCCATGATGTCCTATTTTTAGTGCAGCCCCTGTTTTAGTTTTGGCGAATTTAATTTTGTTTGCATGACAAGTTTTTGACGGCGACAAGAGTTACTCGGCAACCAGGAAGTAGTTGTTGAGAGCTCTTTCGGGTTTCTGTCACTCGCGACGAAATTCTGTCCTCTCTTAAAGTTTGACATGAAGAGTTTGCTTTTTAAAATGACAGGGTCTGCTACGTGACGTGGACATAATTACGACAAGAGTATGGCTTCTTGGCTGTAATTTGTATTCAAAATGTAAGTGAAAAAAATTCACATGTAAGTTCTAAACTACGGAATTGTGACCAGATGTCATTTGGCTGCATTTGTATCTCCGTTTACCTTATGGGAAAATAAAAGACGGAGGGAAAAAATATAGTTGGCGACTTGCAAAGGACCTGTTGTCTAGCGGGCGTCAATCAGGTGTTACCAAAACATAATTGCCCTGTTTGGATTGTACCGTAATTATTTCTCTTGGGTAAGAGTTATTAAAGGTGTACAGAACAGGTATCAATAAAACTTTGCCGCCAGCATTTGCTTGGCGCCAAAATATCACGAAGGTTGGCTAAAAGTTATCTCGAATTCATTTGAAAAGCTTGTTTTTTTTTAACTTGACATGCATTAAGCTACCACAGCAGCTGATATACACTTTGCACTTTTTTATGAGATCGCACCTTATGATGGCACGTTTCGAGTCATTCTCGCAGCTTAAAACTTCGTAATAAATGTTTCGCACTTCAGGAGAAACAACAAAATTGGCCGATGTTATCCCCTCGTCACTGCGAGCTGTTAACAAGACCAGCAGCGAAACTGAGAGTGAGGACTTAAAAATGTGACAAATTTGTTTCAATTGAAAGCAACAGGACACCCTTGCCTGATTGCCTGTGAATCTTAAGCGCAAACTGTCTTGAAATTTTTCACCAAGAAATTAATTCGATGACAATTTTTCGTTCGTCAAACTCAGCTTTGTCACCTCTTCTTTGTTGTAAAACATCTTTGTTAAGTTAGTCAAATGAGATTCCAAGAAGACCGTTCATATTCTCCAAGATTCATTCTTAAATTCTCCCCAATTATTGCGCACATTTCTTGTAATTGTTACAAAGGAAAACGTCGCATCTTACTTTTTTCCCGGTGGGTTTTTTTTTCTGTTATTGTTATCACCTGCTGTCTTCCTTACCAGTTGTCTTCTGTGATTTCCTTCGAAGGAATTCCAACAGTTTCTAAACATGGATGATCCTACTTTTATTCGTAAATTTCTGTATGAATTGCTTATTTCTTCGAAGATAGCATAGAAAGAGACAAGAATTTAACTATAACTTTGCCTCACTGACGCTAATGTAGTTTTAAAAAAATGATGATAGAGCAATTTGAAATTTTTTGAGTAAAGTTTTTTCAACTTTACAACACAGAAGTTTTTTAATCTTTGCGTTTTTCTTTAGTTCAATAATGAACAGTACCGTCCCCCCTTTTTACTTTAGTTTGATATTATGAAAATGTAGCTTAGGTTTTATAATTACTATACACATTAACAGTAAGAAAATTGTTTCGGCTTCAAAACACCGATTTGAAATGGCGTTTTAGTGTGAGTCGCAAGGTAACTTTCTTCGCTCTAAAATATATTTCATATCATCGGTAGGAAAAACAAAAGAGAAAAAAAACCCTGGGAAAACCGATAGGTAATGACCTATACCCAATTGTGGCAAGTTGTATTGGTATTTTAATGCATGAATATAGAAATATTTAAGCACAAGTTTGGGATTTTCTTATACTTTTCTTGGCTTGCATGTACTTGCATTGTCTAGGCGTGTGTGCCCACTGAATCTTTTATGACTCAAAATAGAGATACGATAAAACCGCGGGCACGCATTTAGTGTTTCAGTTGTGGGCCTCTCACCGTGGATTAAGGGAAGACATAACAATTCTGAGTCAATAATAATACATCTGGCGAATTTATAGCCCAGGGCTTATATATTATATTTAAAGTCTTGGCTTTCACGTAGCTGAGGATTTTGTGCGTTAAAAAGCTTTGGGACTTAACAAGAAGCGTCTTTGATGTTTTCCGAGCCCGAAGTTTAACCCTCAGCCGGCAAATTAAAAGTGAGAAAACGGACATGAATTCATCACTGGAAAACGAGAATATTACTACATGCAAAACATGTAAAGCAAACATACGCCTATTATGGGAGAAACGTTTGCTCTTTAAAACTTATTTCTTCAACGACCCAGAGAATTTGTTTTGGAAATTTAGCAGGATCCATCACAACAATTTTTTGACGAAATCTAACTAGGAATTAGTTACTTCTTACTAAATGTGACAAGCACTGCTGTTTTCCATAGGACGAAATAACTGTAGCACAGAATCCCAAGAGTTATATGCAAATGATATATAGTCTAATAACCTCCCAGTAACGTTATACTCTTCTGTTTTCATACTCTTGTAGGATATCGTGAAAGCTACTGGCTTTGCATGGTTTTGAGATACGCAAAAAATTCACCATATCTAGTATAAAATTTCCATGGTTTAGACTGCTTCACGTTATTAAAAGATAAAATTCTTTTAATCTCTTTTCGTCGCTATGTCCTGCTGTTTTTCTATTTTTTTTTTGGTTGGTGTCGCATTGTTCCAAGATGTGTTGAGAATTAACCATTTCTAACTGACAGCTTACGAAGTAATTGGTTCGTTCTCGTTCTAATTGGTTGTGCAATTTATACAAAATACGCGTCCAAAGTGACATTTCCATTGTCCCTTTTCCGACATCTGTAAGGATTTCACAGTTTCCAAAGCCATTGTTTCATTAAGATATTAGGTCTTTTTGCAGTCCGCCCTGTTCATATTGATGTTACGATATTGATAGGTTGCATAACACGCCTCGCGATGGTATCATGCTCCGCAGGTGTTTTGCCTAAATGCTGCAAGGTTTTTTAACCTTCAAAAGCGGTTACTTCTCTGTTGTTTCCTAACGTGTTATCACAGTTTCTATCATGTTTCACGAACAATTCCAAAAAGCATCCGACAGCGAAATTGTAATGGCTCAGCTTGCAATCCTCCATGGACTCACGTTTATTTTTTCTTTTGTTAACACCTTTTTCTTCTCAACGGATACTGTCTTATCTAATCTATGTATCTTGCCTTAATGATATTTTTACAATTTAGATTTTCCAATGTCTTAGTTCTGAAAACTCGTATATCGTGACTTTCTTAAATGTTTTATGTCGCTGCCTAACTGAAGTCTTCAATAAACCTTATCAATATGCGAGGTCTGCAAGAGGTCAAGTAGACCCGTTTTTGAAAGCAAATGAATCCGTTGGCTTGGATATTTCGTACTTGTGCTAAGTAAGCCTAGGAGTAAAATATCTCAGCCGACCATACAATTAAGTTTTTGTTTTTTCGAATTTTTATTTCTAAGAACCTGCAAATGGACTATTTGTCACGGTTGACATCCATTTAGCCAGCTTGCCACCCACTTGCTTTTTTAATCCCTTTCTTACTTGAAGATTGAAGTATTATTTGACAAACCCATTTTGAAGTTTTTTTCGAATGTGAATTTCCCTTCAATTGAAAAAAAAAACGCTTAAAAGCGCCTTATTTGTGGCACTCAGCCAAATTCAAATGTTCCAAAAAGCCGGTAAACATGGTAACATAGTTTGCGTTGTGTTATGCATTGTGCTCTTTGGAATAAAGTTATTAAAATGCTTTTGCAAAAGGGCATATCTTTCGTACCTAATGGAAGCTACATCACGCAAACTATTAATTTAAAACAATCAACAACCCAATTTTAAGGTGTCGAATTTAGCAACTCTTAATATGATTTTCCTTTATTTTGTATGATGCCTTTCACGAAAGACGTTCCCCAACACGAAAGTTTCCGTGTGGGGATTTCCTAAGGATAAAGTACTTAAGCGGCTGGTTAGAAAATTTTGTGACAACGAGATTTTCAACGGCTTTACATAATGCAGTTGTATAATGTGCTCTGTGAAGGATTTACGGGATTGTTTTGTTTTTTCTTTTCATTGCTTTGTTTTTAGCTTGTCATGCAACCCTGGGCGTTTGCTGAGGAGACATGTTTTGCCTCGTTTTGACCATCAGTCAAGTTGTGTCAGCGAAATTTTCACTTGTGCCACTGTCATACCAGTCTTGAAAGCCCAATGCATGCATTTCGACTGTCGCTGTTTATTCTTGTTCCTGACGTAGCCCATTCCTTCTTTTGAACCTTTTGTTTTTGTTTGTGTGATTTGTAGACCAAGCAAGAAAATAATGACAAAAGAAAACTGCTACCCAGTGATTCATTTTTCCAATAACAGAATTATCTTGTGGTTATATTTAAGTCAGTTCAATGAGAATTTAGAGGTAAACAGAGCATTCTCAGTAGTATTGATGTTATGTTAGCGAGGTTGAGTGACAGCGAAGAAGAAAATTATTTCCATCCTGTATCAACTGAGGGCTCATAAATAAATATAAAATTACGAGTAAAATACCTGCAAGTCACTTCCATTTCCGAGGCAAATGAATTAATTATTTTTAATTTTTTGCAGTTCAAACCCGGGCATTTTATTTGTAAGGGTTGTTTTGCCGAAAGTGCAAAGACGAGAATGCATACTTGCTCTATTTTCCAGCTTCCTTGCTGGCCGATTAAAGATCTGCTTTAAAGGATAGCAATATGATACAGCTCTTAAGAGAAAGGCTCGGGAGTCGTCACTGAAATGGGCAGGCATCCTGAGCTTGATTCTAAATTTATTTCTCCAACCTTAAACCCCCAAAGTTATTTTTTTAGTTTGATGGCCAAGTCTCGCGTGTATCACTCAAGATAAAGCATTAAAAAACCGGCTTGTCCAGAAAAATAAAACTTGTTTCGCAAGATTACTCCACTCTGGGAGTCAAAGAGTTGAGTAAATCAGCAATTGGTTTGATATTTATTGCTTGGCAAATGCTCCTCGTTACGTTCATCGCAGCAATGTTCCGCTTTGTCTGGTGTATCGTTGGAAAACACCAACTCATCAAATTTATCCTTGGGTGATACCTGTTCGTCCGGTTCTGGTTCAAAGTAAGGGTTGTCCAGCTCTGAAACTTCAACTGACGAAAGATATTTCCTGCCTCGCTGCTTCTCTATACTTGTCAGGAGTTCTTTTCTTTCTCTTCTATGTCGTGATGCCAGTTCTTTTTTAATTGTTCGAATGTTTTCATTAAAACTTTCGACCATTCCTTTCAACTCGGTCCTTAGCTCTTGTCGTGAATCTAAAACAAAATAGGGAGAACACGTACAGAAAATGGTAGCCAACGCGAAAATCTTCCCTCTATTACATTTTCGAACAATTTTGATAAGATGAGATAAATCAGGGAGAAATGAGATGGATAGGAAGAAATACAGAACACTTTAAAATATCCGAGGCATTTCTAAGTATGTGAAACTTCCAAATTTTACAGCAAAGTTGTAAAGTAAAGTAAAGTTACATGAAAGTGTAAAGTAAAGTTGTTTTGTGTTTTTCCATGGGCAAGGCACATAGAAAACAATTTGAGTCTTACTCCCTTAGTCCTCAGGATCTCCCGGCCCACTGCTGCACCGCTGAGAGACAGAGGACTCTTGGGTGTGGTAGGGCACTATTAGCTTAGTACATGAGAAGCGTCCTGCATATTGCAAGGATCAGTAACGTCAGAGACATTGTGTATCTAAATAGAATAAGAATGATGTCACAGTTTACCTGAAAGCTAAAGATAGACAGAGATAGAGTAACCGGGATAGCCGAGGATGGTTATTGGCGCTGGAAACGGGTAGCAAATTATCAAAGGCGTAAAGCAAAAAGGTTAATATCTAGGCATTAAAAAAACAATTTAAAGTATTCAAAAGATCCGAAGGTGCATGTAATTACCATGTGATGTAACCTTTGCTCTTGTTCTGCAGCGTTGAATAATTTCCCAGATAATGCCACAAAACAGGAACGATGTTAACCATATTATAGTTATGTACATAGTCTTTTGAAACACCGTGCTGTGACTGTCAAATATCCCGGTTGATCTTTCCATGGAGAGCGGTTCAGCGGGCTCCTAAAAGAGAAAAATCAAACCACTATTTGTCAGCCAGTCAGTCAGTCGTCAGCCAATCAGTCAGTCAGTTTTACAGGGGTTACGTCTCTAAGAAAATAGTTGTGCTGCGTCGTTGGGGGTATAACGAGATAGTTTGGTTTAGTTGGTCAACTGTTCTCTCATGTTTTCGATCAGTCAGTCAGTTGGTCAGTTGTCTCAAACGGTCAGTCAGTCAGTCAATCAGTCAGTCGGTCGTAACCAATCCGTCAGTCAGTTATACAGGGGTTAAGTCTCTAAAGAAACTGTGGTGCTGCGTCGTTGGGGGCATAACAGATTAGTTTGGTTTAGTTGGTCAGTTGGTCTCTCTGGTTTTCGGTTAGTCAGTCAGTCAGTCGGTCAGTTGGCGTCAGTCAGTCAATCAGTCAGTCAGTCAATCAATCAGTCTGTCAGTTAACAAGCCTGTCGGTTGGTCAGTTGGTCTCAGTTTGTTGGCCAGTCAGTCAATCTTTTAGTCTGTCAGTCATTCAATAAATTTTTGATATAAATGACATCCAAAAAATTGCTCTACAACAATATAATTCTACCAAATATCAATGTTTTTATTTGATACTCGCCTTGAGCTGTTCTGTATTCTTTTGAATATGATGTGAAATCTTACTAGCGAATACCCTTTCAGTGTACCGTTTGAAACAGCGTCTGAGTTTTCGGGCTTCCACTCCCATTACAACCCCATAGGTAGCCGAGTAATCGAGGATCTTATTCACTCGTAGATGTTCTTGTTCAAACAAATCCTTGTTGTTTCCAGCACTGTATGTATCTATTAAGGCCCCAATAACGTGTCGTTCATGTAGGGCTTCGTAGATATCGTCGAACGTGTGGTATTCGCGTTCTGGAGAAAAAAGCCCAGCACTTCTTTAAACTTTGCCCCTTTGCTCATGCGGAGAACTGAATGCATTGATTTCTAGTGCATACGTCGTATAGTTTCATTCCTCGCGCTAGATTCTCATAAACCTCATATTTCACTGAATAGCATTCTCTTTAATGGAATCTTAGT